TCTTACAGTTCCGGGTTACCTTAAGATTCAGATTTCCTTAAGCTGATTTAAGACAGAGGTTTCCACACTGTAGTCTGTAGATTGCAGTAGACCCTCCATTTCAATTAATTTTGATGAGATGGTGCACCTGTGATAAATTGACAGGAGTCTATTAGTCAAAAAATGTGGGAACCACTGTTGTGTACAGTATTCAGACAATTGATGGAACACCTTACAAAATTCAAGTCCAGATTCAAACATAAAGTGATTAAGTCCAGGAGGGCAGGTACCCAGGTTGCATCTGAGACTTTGGTACAGTTTTATCTATGAAGTTTATGAGAACCAAATTCGCCTCATAAATCTAAGGCAGACTTAGGGTAATCTTTGGGTACATTTGATACCGGATTTATCCAAAGAACCTCGTCTGCCTGTGTCCTTAGACCAACACGGCTACAACCTACACCCCTCATAAATCTAAGTCACCTGTGATCTGCTTTCAGTTGTCACTGCTGTTGGAATATATGACAGGCTTATTAGACAAATCTCATTTTTCTGAGCTGTCCCTTCTTTTTCCTTTTTTCCCCTCCTAAGTCTTGAGGATGCAAAAGCACCAGATCTTCCTTGCATAATACAAACGGATTTTTCCTAATTCTGTAGCAGCCTCCATAGAAGTTAAGTCCCTCGGATGAGGAGAGAACTATTCTCTTCCAAACCTTCTTCTCATCCTTGATAATCTGATTTAAGAGGGCTGAACTACATTAAATCTCCCATATCAAAATGACCCCCTAAAGCTTGTGGCACTGTGGGCAGTGACTAGCATTGGAAGCTAGATTTCACACATTCACCTTTGACAGCCTTTTTAGCTTCTGTGGCTGCAAGATGAACCTTACCCAGGCAGATTGACTGAAACAAATTTACTAAATTGTACTGACTCTCTTATAGGCTGATCTTCCCCTGAAATTTCATGTGAAGAATACAAATGTCTAAATGTAGTATTTACCAGACATTCTTCATTCACAGTCTGTATTTGAGTGTCAGTGTCTAAAATGGTACTGAGAAATCTGTTTCTACCCTCATCAGATTACTCTGACCCCAAATACAAAGAAGTGCAAATGGGAAGGTAGGCAAACCCCTGCTATGTGGAACACCATGCGACTGAGCTATATACTCACTACAGTTTCTGTCTCAAATAATTTATATAGTGCATGCTTTTTTCTTTTCAATGCAGGTAAAGAAGGCTGGTCTTGTTGTAGTGAAAAACATGAAAATTGTTGGTCTACATTGCTCCAGTGCAGAATTGCATGCTGGTCAAATTGCTCTTATTAAACATGGATCAAGACTTAAAAACTGTGACCTTTATTTTTCCAGAAAACCATGTTCTACTTGTTTAAAAATGATTGTAAATGGTAAGTTAATGGTTATGGTACAGGTGGGGCAAATATTGTTTGATTTACTGTGCAGGGAAAGCTGTTTGAATTGTCCCATTTGTATGTGTGAATGTTTGTCTCCTTTAATTAGGGGAACAATTACTAAGTGTTTCAGTTCTGGAGTCAATGATTCAGTAGTAATTCCTACTGAGCCAGCAATGTTTTGGGGCCAGATTTTTAAAAAAAATTACCTCAGTGAAGCAGTTGAGATCATTTTGCCTAATATCTAGGTATGTCCCTCCAGAACTGAAATTCAGAAACCTGAGTTGGACATTCAAGATCTCTGTACCTGGGCTGGAGAGAGAGAAGCACTTTGGATAGGGATTCACAGCAGCCAACACTCTGAACAGTACAACACAGACAGCCAAAAAGAAGTTTGGTTGTAGGGTGGGGGTAGAGTGTCTTGAAATCCCATCAGATTTAGGCAGAAGCTAGGAGATTCCTTACAACCCCAAGTTAAGCACATCTCCTAATTTGCATCCAGGACTCCCTATCTTAATGTAATCACTGAAGTCATGAGGCAGTATAGTCCACCATTTGTAGGGGTAGGGAGGAGAAGATCAACATTTGCTCGCTGACTAAGAGTCTGAGGCCTTGTGGAAGAAGTTAGAAACCAGGGTTCTGAGCCCTCCTCAGCTTGTGGAGATTGAAGTCCCCATCATTCAACTCCCAACAGAATGCCCTAAACCAAGGGAAGGCAAAATACAGCCTGCGGGCCAGATCTGGCTCAGCAGGCAATTTCATCTGGTCCACGGGCCCACCAACTAATTGTACCTCACCCTGCCCATGTGCCTCGCTCCCACCCTCATGGGTGGAAGCGCCCAGTCTAGCCAGTAAACAGCTTCTAGGCAGGCCTGCTGCTGCCACTGCAGCTGTCAGGCGGCCTGCTTGGCTTCCCCGTTGTTCTGCGCACTCCTTACAGCAGGTAGGGAAGCAATGGGGAAAGGGTTGGAAGTGCAGAGCATGGGGCTGGCAGCAGCGCAGAGCCTGTACCAGGGGGGCGGTGGGAGTGCGGAGCTTAGTTGGGCAGGGGGTGGGTGTAAGGGAAGGTGAGAGAAAGTGTGCGGACTCGCCACAGACTCCCTCTCATGATGTGCAGCTCCCAACACCGGCAGTAGCAGCACCAGCAGGCAGCGGAAACTCGGAGCCCATGCAGGTGCTGCTGCCCAGTGGTGCACAGTGCAAGCCAGCACTACATTTAGTGGCAAGGAACACAGCCCAGCTGGCCTGCTTCTACCAACACAGCAGGGGTGGGGATGGCAGACTGCTCCATTGCACAGGACTTCCCCTGGTGGCCTATGAGTGCCAAGAGCTGAATGTCCACTACTTGGAGCCCCACACAATAGAGGCAGGCTGACTGAACTGCACTTCTTGCCACCAAGTACAGCGCTGGCCAGAGCCATGCGCTGCCAGGTGGCAGTGTCTGCGTGGGCCCTGAGCACCCGCTGCCTGCTGGTGCTGCTGCTGCCGCTGGAGTTGAGGGAATGTGGGGGGGGGTCCCCCTACCCTCCCTCACACCTCACAAACCCCCCACAGCCTGCTCCCATACACACAAACCCCCAACCCCATCCTGCCCCACACAGTATACAAGAATAATACTTTATTTTTGAGTTATGTAATCATCTCTATATACAGTATGCACACACAAATTGTAACAAAAATACATTTTGTAACAGAATTAAAATATGTTATAGTAGGTGTTTCACTTTTAGTGTATAATTTGTTTTTTTTGGGGGGGGGGGTTCTTGTTCCCAAATGGCAATCCTCCCCTCCCAAAAGGAGTACTTCCAGGGGGCAAGGGGTACCTGGGAGTACTTCTCGTGGCAAAGGTCAGAGGTTATGGGGCAGGGCTTCTGGTCCCAACATGGTGACCAAGGGGCAGGGCACCTGTCAAGGAGCAGGGCCACCCTTGCAGCTCTCAACAGCTCACCAAAACTCATTAAGTGGCCTTCCAGCTGAAATAATTGCCCTCCCCTGGCCTAAGCTCTAGGCTATAGGGTGAGGTAGAGGTGCTCTTTATCTCCCTGGTTGGGGCTAGCCCGCTGTGTGGAAAGAAATGCAAGTACCTTAACTTCTAGGCTCTGGGCAAAAAATATGGCTACTCCCCGTTCTTTTAGGCATGACATGCCCAAAGTATGCCTACCAGATTGAAGCCTTTCAGGGGTGTGACCAGTCTCTACTAGTTCCTTCATGCCTCCTGGGTCTGTCACTGAGAAATTCTCTTCCTCTCCATCCTCCCCAGTCTTACCTGGATCTCCTCGTACATACCAGCCTCATAAATGAGATGGTAAAATTGTCCTGATGGCATCTCCTGCCTCCAAAAGCACTAGGGAGGCATCAATAAACATACTCTTTGTGAATCCTAAGTGACCTCAGGCTTGGTTTAGGCCTGCATGCCCTTGGCTCAGTCAAGGTGGTGACATTTCTGAGCATGTACTATGCTTATACTTCAGGCACAAACATCAGTTTTCAGCAGAAACTTACGGTACTTGGGGACTTCTCAAGTGCCTAAACATTTAGGAAGGTTTTTCTGAATCACTCAGTTTGTTTTAAGTGGGTAAGTTCTGCCTAAATAGCAGCTGTCGACTAACGTGGTTTTTAATGTGATCCTGACTGTCCTGAAGTTAAGTGGAACTATGAGGTTCATATTCTTGAGTAAGATCTAAAATGAGGTCCTGGCTGTGGATGCTGTTGTGATGCTGTTAAACCTGACATCCTGGTCAATTTCCAGCCTAAGTAATTAACTTTCTGCTCTTTTACCTGTTATACTTCCTAGAAGGTCCATTTGAATGTTAATAGATTCATATACTCATCCCTAAGGTGGAGACTGGTCTTTCATGTACAGCTGTGTTTCCCTATGGGAATTAGCATTATTATCATTGGCTGCTTTGTCATGTTCTAGTAATATGGTTACATCATAAAATATACAGAAATGAAGAGACTCCTGCTCTGAGATGCTTACACATGTAGAAAACATTCAGTTTCCATCTGTCACAGATGGGGTAACTTAGCCTTTTGGTTGGTAGAAAACTGTGTAACATGATCAGAAGCATAACTTAAATCACCTTGTTTTTGCTAACCCCCCAAGATTTGCCACCACATCCATTACTCGCATGCACAGAACAACTTCCATTCTGTTTTCTAAGTGGGTTAAAAGGTAGTGGCTTAGGTTAATGTTGGAGTCTGAGGATAAGAAAACTGTTGCATACTCCACTGGATTCATACTTCCTTCTAATGGGGTGTATCTTTTGTTCCAGCTGGAGTGAACAAAATTTCATATTGGCCTGCAGATCCTGAAGTCAGCTTGCAAATTGAAGTGTCCAACCCTACCACTACTGAAGATGCAAAGCTGGATGCCAAAGCAGTGGAAAGACTGAAGTCAAATAGTCGAGTTCGTGTGTGTGTCTTGCTTCAACCTTTGGTGTATTATATGGTGCAGTTTGTAGAAGAAACCTCTTGCAAGTGTGACTTCATTCAAAAAATTGCAAAAACTCAACCAGGGTTAAATACTGATTTTTATGCTGAATGTAGGCAAGAAAGAATAAAAGAGTATGAAAGTTTATTCCTAATTTCAAATGAAGGAAGGCACAAGCAAATACTGAGGACTATAGGGCTGGAGAATCTCTGTGAAAATCCATATTTTAGCAATCTTAGACAAAATATGAAAGATCTTATCCTGCTTTTGGCCACAGTAGCTGCCAGTGTTCCAGCCTTTGAACACTTTGGATTTTACTGTAATGGATCCCAGCAGACACGTGAAATGTACCATCAAAGCTTGCCCCAAGAAATTGCAAGGCACTGTATGATACAAGCTAGGTTACTGGCCTACCGAACAGGTGAGTTGTTTCATTAATGGGAGGAAAGCAGGTCTTGTGAGAATCGTAGGACTGAATTGGGGACTCTAGTTATGTTCCAAACACTTACTGTATGTGACCTTGGGCAAATCACTTAAGTGCTATGTGGTTCAGTTTCTACAACTGTACAAAGGAGATGACAAGAGGTTACTTCATGAGGCTATGCATTAATATTTGCAAAAGGCTGTGAGCTGCTAAGATAGAAGGAATTATCAAAGTGCAGGTATTACACATGCATGATACTTATATAGCCTTGTCATTCACTGTGCATGATTGCTGTCTCAGAAGATACAATATTTAGACTAACAGAGCCTCTGCAAGTATCTTTGTATAAACACCTGGTACCTACCAAGAGGAGTAGGTAATTGAATAGCACTGTGACAGCATTTTAATATTGCGTGTGTGTGTGTGTATTTATATAGGAAATATATTTACAGTATTATTCCAGAGCTGTCTTACGCATTAGGAGAATATTACCATCTTAAATGGCCCTTAGGTCTAGGAGACCTTTTTCCTTGGGTAAAAGATGCCTTTTTTTGTTTTTGTTTTTTTCTTGTTTTTGTAAAGTCCTGTAATTTTTAAACTAGGGTGCTCTCCTAGTCCTTGTCTCTCCCAGTAACTCCCGTAAAGTCTATTTAAGCTCAGCATCAGTTTTGCTTCTTTTATATAAAAGATTGGCTTCAAAAAGCCCAAACTATTCTTCCTCCTTGACATCATGTCTCATAACCCTCTATGTTCCCTCCATCCTTCTGCAAGCACTAAGTGCCCTAAAGTATATTTTGTATATACTGCTATATTTGTGGACATCTGGAAACCATGTGGCATTCTTGAGGATGTGGTCCTGATTAAGTAGTGTTTTACTGTATTCAATAAACACTTATGTAGACCTTCAAAATAAAAGGTTAAGCAGCTTCTCCCTGCTCTGTTTATGCCATATATTCAACATTAAATGGCAAGATAAAACTACAACTCGGAGGTTCTTCAAAGGGCAAATTTACCAAGTGTGATAGCTTTACTCAGAGATGACTGTGCTGGCTAGGCCATCTGAGCAGATTGGAAGATGCATGTATACCCAAGGACATGCTATACAGCAAACTACCAGAGGGAACAAGAACAACAGGTTGTTCCAAGCTTTGCTATGAATACACATGTAAGCGAGATATGAAGGCATTTGGAATTGATCCTGGCCAATGGAAACCTTGGCAAGTGATTGGAACAAGTGGCACCATGGTGTCCACCAGGAATGATGGGAACAAGTAGTGTCATTGTCTCCACCAGGGACAATTGAAGTCTATGACAGGAATTGGCTCCAAGAGCTTGAGGAGAAACAAGTCCATAAAAAGCAAGCAGCTCCCAAACCATCCAACCGTGACACATACATTTGCAACCACTGCCACAGATCATGCAAATCTTGGATTGGACTATTCAGTGACACAAGGCATTGCAAACCACCTACGTCATAGGCTGCAATATCCACCATCTCTTGCAAATGAAAGGATTACCAACAAAAGACCCTGGGGAGATCTCTATAATAGATTTTCTGTACAGACCTGCATAGCAGTTAGAGGAAAGGAAATGCCCACCTTTCTTCTATAAATAAAGCACTAATCCCTGAGTCCAAATGTGGTACTGACTTAAGCAGGTGTAATTCTCCTTGCTATTGAGCACTTGACCTGCTTACCCTCAAGCCAATGTTGACTGCTTCCTGGAATGAGACCTGTTTCTGTCATTTGCATGTGATTGGATGCAGAAATGTTTTTAACATTTCCTTTTGCCTTATTCCTAAATATTCTCAAAGTAAGACCTGAAAGTGCCTCCTGAATAGCAGAGGGAATTCCTTCCTCCCAGTCTTAGGAGTAGTTCTGGGAGCACCTCTGCAGAAGCAAAGGCTCTTCAGTAAGTCAGGGTAGTAAACAAAAATTGTCAGCAAGTGCTACTGCTGTCGCCCCTTCTTGTACCTCTGCACTGATTTCTGAAATTGAAGAATGATGGGCGTATTTAATTATATAGCAATTGAACGATCTCAAGACAACGAGGCGAGGGAGCCGCAGCCCGCGGGCAACGGCCTTCTGGGCCTCTCCCTGAGAGTGGTAGCTGCCGAGTTCTAAGACTTTAGAAACCAGGCTGTGTATTGAGGTGCCTAAATATAAGCTATCTTCCATGTTTTGGGGTTGTTGGTTATAGCTGTGTTGGTCTAAGGACATAGGCAGACAAGGTTCTTTGGGTAAATATGTTATCTTTTATTAGACCAGCTAAATAGCTGAAAAAAATTGTTCTTTCCAAGTTTTCAAGCACAAACCTCCTTCTTCAGACAGAGGGAGAATCTGCTGGTGTTTTGTGTGCTCTCCTGGGTGGAATAGAAGCCAATATAGAAAATGCCAGTCTCACCTACCTGTCTCATACCTATTTTCCAGATCCATATGAGCAAGAGCATGTCCACAAATAGTGGCAACCATCAGTCCTCCTAGATCATGGTGTATGTATGAGGGCCACCCAGACCTTTGATGCTTTTGTCTGGGCAGGGATTTTTGGAGGAGTGGAGGCTGCCCAGACCTTCCATCATCCCCTTGGGCCACTGAGGCAGAATCCAAAGACCAGGCTGAGCCCAGATGTTTGGTGCCCCCATGGCTGTAGTTGTGTAAGCATCTAGGAATCAATCCCAGGTCTACCTATGTGGTAGACAAGGATTCTACCACTGAACCACAGGGGAATCCCCTACAAATAGCAGCCACAGTGCACACCTCTTTGTGCCACAGTGCACACTTCTGCTTGTGTGCTTTGCAGTGGGACACATCCCCCTGCTCCATGTGCTGCAGGGGGGCTGACTGGGACATCCCCTGCACTAAGCCATCCCCTGCATTGAGGCACCCTGTTCTCTGCCTGGCCAAGGAGTGGCACGTGGAGATAGGGCTACCTGCTCCCTCATCTCTGCACACTGCAGAGTCCCTACGCTGAGGCACCCTGTCCCCTAGCCAGACGCTCTGTACCTGGCTGGGGCACAGGGTGCCTCAAGACAGGGGACCAGGCAGCCTGAGGCTGGCTGCTCCCCTCTCTCCATGTGCCTTAGCATGGGAGCTTCACTGCAGAGCCCCTACACTGAGGCACACTGAGACCCAGCCAGCCACAGAGCAGCTGGCTTGGGTGCAGTGTGCCTCGAAACAGAGGAGCAAGCTTCCTGCTCTCCCCTGCCAAGGTAGACTGTGCCCCAGCCAGCTGCATGGGGTGCAGTGTGCCTCAACACGGGGGCTCCACAGTGAAGCCTCTGTGCTGAGGCATGTGGAGACAGGGCAGCAGCCAGCCCAGGACTGCCTTCTCCCCTGTCGTGAGGTATGCTGCACCCCAGCCAGGCAGGGAGTGGCTGGCTGGGGCACAGGATACTTCACCATGGGGGGGCTCCACAGCACATGGAGATGGGGGAGCAGGCTGCCTGCTCCCCCGTCTCTGCATTTGTCCTGGCACAGCACTCGCTACTTTGGTGTGGATTGTGCTGCTTTTTTTTTCTGGGAATTTTTTTCTACAGAGAAAACCTGGTAGCGAATTTTGCCCCGGCACTGCAAATTAGCAGCGCTGTGCACTGATTAATGTACAACTGTCTAACCTGCTCTTGAAAACTTCAAGGGTGGAGAATCCACTGTTTCTCTAGGTAGTCTGTTCAAGTATTTAGCCACCCTCACAGATAGACAGTTCCTCCGAATCTCCAACCTAAATTTCCTCTGCTGCAGCATAAGGCTACCTTATGTCCAGCTGAGCCTGTTTTCCTTCTGAATCCTGCAGCTAGGTCCATATCTTATGTGGAATAGCACCAAAATAGACAAGAAGTCACTAATGTAGTAGTAGTTTTGCCACATGATAAAGATGGGTTGCAAGAGGAACAGAGAAGGTGAAACCTCTTAAATTGGCTAATATATGGGAATGACTAAGATGTATGTATAAAGCACATTACCACCTCGTTATAACAAATCCCTGTGGGACTGGGAGAAAGTTTGTTAAAAAGGTGTTGACTAACCCTGTTACAGTAAACATGCTGCATTGTATTAAAAAATTGGTTCCTTTTACTGGTTTTTCTGGGGGTTGTTATAAACAGGGCTCATTATAATGAAGTTGTAGTATAAACCCCTTTTTACACCTGATAAAGTATTGGGGAAAGTGCTTTTCTTAAGTGGTGGAGTACTTGGAGGGTGTGGCTATGGTAACTTCACTGCTGCTTTTCCAAGTTTGATGTATGTGGAGAAAGAGCAGGTGGACAGGTCATCTGCTTGATGACCCTCCCATGAGTCCTGCAAAACCAGTGTAGACATAGTCTGACTGGCACTTAGGAATGCTGGGAGATAATTAATTGGAACAGCACCATCTAAGACAGGGGTGGGCAAAATATGGCTCATGGGCTGGATCTGGCCTGCTCAGAGATTTTGTCTGGCCCATGGCAAGTCCCTCAGTCCCGCCCAGCCCAGGTGCAGGGGCAGCCTGGTCTGTGGTGCATGCGGCCAGTCCTGCCACCCCCAGGGCACTCAGCAGGGCTGGGGTAGCGCAGTAGCCAGAATTGCTTCCAGCAACCCTGGCGATGGCAGCCCCTTCCAGCTTCTGCCACTACTGGGCCTAGCCCTACTGCCCAGGGACCCCAGCCCTTCCACCCCTCACGCACTGCCAGGGTGGGACCCTACATAGGCAAGACACACAGCCAGGTGGCTGGGTTGAGGCTGCAGCCAGGTGGGGAGTGGTGTTGGGAGCAGGATGGGCATGTGGGGCCAGGGCTTGGAGCACAGGGTGGTGAAATGCGGGGCCAGGCCCAGGGCACAGCCACAGTCTTCTGCCTGCATGTCCCTGTGATGGGCACAGGTTCCACAGGCAGGGTGATGCAGAAAGTGGGTTGCAGCTCTGTCCCAGGCCCTAGCCCCATGCTGTTACCACCCCAAGATCCTGGGTCCAGCCCCAGATGCAGCTTCCTGCCCATCTGTGGCTCCATTCCATCCTTCTGGCTGTGTTCCTTGCTGCGTGGGTCCCCGTGGAGCCAGTCTCCTTGGAGACCCAGAGATCACAGGGTGGTAACAGTGTGGGACTGGGGCCTAGGGTAGAGCCATGATCTGCTCCCTGCATCCCCCTGCCCACAACTGGCACCTATCACAGGGGTGTGCAGGAAGCAGATCACGGCTCTGCCCCAGCCCTGCACTGGCACTGCCCCACAATCCTGGCCATGCCTGGCTTCCTGTCCCACTCCCAGATGCTGCTTCCCATCTGCCCACAGCCTCATCCCAGCCGCCCAGCCGAGGATGGAGCAGAGCCACTTAGGGAGTTTTGATGAGTTGTTGTGCGGGGCTGAGAGGGTTGCTTTCCCAGCCTGCAACAGCTCATCAAAACTCCCTGTGTGGTTCGTGGGCCCAAATAATCACCCACCCTGGTCTAAGATAACAAGCACTGCAAAGGGAAAGTTTCATTCAGACCTTCCTGTGTAGCGTGAAAGAAAGGGCCTGCAAAAGGCTGATGAATTCAAGTTTGATTCTCTACCTGGCTTTTAAAACATTTGCTTCTTAATTAAACTTATTTTGATTATTTACTCTCTTAAGAGTTTCCCAGTGAGTTTCTGCCATCCATTAAAATGTTCTGCTGCAGTGGTCTGAATTCCCAAAGCCACTGACATCTATGGATTTTAGCAAGTATTTCTTTATAGCAGCTGTCAAAAGAGACCAATATTTATAGTTCCCCACACTACATTATTAAATGGCCAAACAGAAGGATGGTTGGCTTTGGTCTCAAGGAACAGGATCAAGTCAGGAGATCCAAGTTCTGTTCCTGCTTTCACCATTAAGTTGTGCCATAGACCTCTGTATCTTTGTCTAGTTTCTTAATCTTTACTCCTTGTTTTCCTTAACTGCATAATGTGGATAATGCCTCTCAGGAGTGCTGTGAGGTTTATGGAGTCAATGAGTTGGAAGGGACCTAGACAGATCATCTAGTCTGACCCCCTGCCATGGGCAGGAAGGAGCACTGGGGGTGGCAGGGGTCATAAGACCCCAGCCAGGTACCCATCCAGTCTCCTCTTGAACATTTCCAGGGAAGGTGAGAGCACCACCTCTCTGGGAAGCCTGTTCCAGGCTCTGGCCACCCTTACAGTGAAGTAGTTCTTCCTAACATCTAACCTAAACCTATCCTCCCTCAGCTTGTGGCCATTGTTCCTGGTGACTCCAAGGGGGGCCCTGGTGAACAGACTTTCCCCAAGGCCCTGCTGGTGGCCCCTGATAAGGTTGTAGGCAGCCACAAGATCCCCCCTCAGTCTCCTCTTGTGGAGACTGAAGAGGTTCAGGTCCCTCAGCCTTCAGGTTTCTCATAGGGCTGGCCACGGAGGCCCTTAACCATACGAGTGGCCCTCCTCTGGACCTTCTCCCAATTTATTTTATTTTAATTTATTTTATTAATAACTCGCTGAAGTACCCATTCTTTGCCTGGGTTATCTTTGTAATTACAGTGTTTCAAAGAACTCAGTATAACATATTTAGGTAAAAAATTTTGTTTATTTTTAAATAACATAGTACAACATGTTTAACATTTAATATTTAACGTGGATCAAAAAAAAAGGCAAGCGTCAGTATAATAATGACAACTGAGTTGAAAAAAACCCCGCAAGCATCAATATAGTAATGACAATTGAATTGAATTCACTGCATCCAAAATGGAGGGATGCCAGTTTGTTATCTGAGAAGTGAAGTAATCCCAGTCAATGGAAGCCCCAAAAAGAGTCAAGTGAAAAATAACCCACCTATAATTTTCTTCGGGTGGTATTCAGTGATTTTTGGAAGGTGTAGAGTAAATGGGACCAGCCATTCTCAAGTTATAAATGAACAGACAGACAGACAGACAAACATGCACTTCATTTTATATAGATATATAGATTAGAAAGTACTTTGCCACTTCTAATACATTTTGTGTTTTAGAGGATCACAAAACAGGAGTTGGAGCTGTGATTTGGGCAGAAGGAAAATCTGTAAGTATGGAAAGCTGTCCCTTTTTCTCACTCTGGCATTTTGTACTTTTTAATTTTCTTAACATTGGTTAAATTGCTTGGTGAAAGATAAGTTCATGCATAGTGTTATAGAAAAACAGTATTATGTATACTTTCCATTAACCCTAAATTAAATGTTAGCTGATATGCTATCAAGGTGAATTAGCATAATTGATTAACTTAGTAAATACCACAGTGGTTTGGCCTCTCTTCTCATCTTTGTTAGATTTCATAGAAACATCGTTATAGTTTTTCAGGCATTCTTGCTAAAATGTTTTGTTGGTATTACTAATCTGACAGGAGGTGCCTGTCAGATTAGTAATACTGTCCGTGTCCCCCCAACTCCCCGCAAGTGCTGGCCGATCGCTGCAGCCGCTCCCAGAAGTGGCTGCAGCGATTGGCTGTTGCAGCATTGGCCCCTGACAGGGGGAGGGGGGCGCACGTGTTCCCCCTCAACTAAGGCAGCACCAATCACCCATGATGATGATTCTCTACCAAGGTGCCTAGAGATCCCTTTCAAGGGTGCCATAAGGTGCGCACACAATGTTTGCACTGTTAAGTGTGCAAACATAGTTCACAAGATAAACCTGGAGAATTCAAATAGGAATCCATAGTGTCAAAAGCATTCAGACCTGTTGTGGTCCTTTTGAGTTCTTTGCAACAGAAGACTTGCTTTATTATTTTTTTATTTAAAAAATGAGTGAAAGCTAAGAGCTGGCATTTTTCAAGTAGTGTCCCAAGCCTGTTTAGGGGTGCATTGAGTCTAAAAAGGTTGAGGACCAGGGATCTAGCATTCTTTGCTAGCACAAGATGCTTTCTGAGAGCCACAATGATTTATTGACTAGTGTACTGCAGAACAGATCAAGACTGCCACCAGAACTGTATTCACAGAGCTCCTGCATCCTTACAAATCAGTTGCTCCATGGAGGGTCCTACATAAATGCTAAGTGTTTTTACTCTCATTTACTTTTCTATGCTGGAATTATTTTAAGTTGTTTCTATTTTGTTTTGTTGTTGTTGTTTATTTTTTATTACTCTTAGTGCATCAAGATAAGTAGTCAAATTTCCCTCAGGGGCTAGTATACCCTGATACATTTTTAACATCATTTGGCTGCTAGAAGCTGATGATCATCAGATACATATCAATGTACTGGGCACTTCTAGTGTCAACTGCTATTTTTTTTAACATATCAATATGCTGGACTTAAAATTCATCTTCATAAAATGGCAGAGTGCAAAAAGTTGTCCTTTTTTGCTCTTATATATTTTAATATGGCCTAATAATTGAATCATTACTGCCACTGTCAGTATTTCTTAGAGGACGAAGCAGCCATTGAGGTCTTATTAAATCATATAGTTTATAAGGTGCCTATCTGGTGCCTTGATGCTATCTTTATAGCAAACCCCTATAAAAATACAATGTTAGAAAAAGTTGATCACTCTAATTGTTGGTACAAATTGGCATGAACTGATCAGACATGGTTACTGTACTAAGTATAAAAACATTTTTTTGATACTTTGCAGATGTTTAATTGAATATTAAACCAAACTTGATGGTTTGCTTAATCTTTTGCAGAGAAGTTGTGATGGAACAGGAGCTATGTATTTCATAGGCTGTGGTTATAATGCCTTTCCTGTTGGATCTGAATATGCTGATTTTCCTCATATGGATGATAAACAAAAAGATCGCGAAATCAGAAAGTTCAGATACATTGTGCATGCTGAGCAGAATGCCTTAACATTCAGGTAATGGATTTGTTTTGTCACTGAAAAATAATGAGAAAGTTCAGAAATGATCCGAAGATGGGTGCAGAGCTCAGTACTGTGATGTATTGAAGGTGTTTTGTATGGTCAAACTCTGACTTATACCTATGTAATTACACACACACTCACACACTCACTCACTCACTCTGTAAAATTGGGATGTGCATAGGCACAGTAGAGTCTGTGAATTCTTCACCATTGTCAGCTGCACTTGCTGTTTAAATTAATATTCCTTCTTGTATATGGTGGACACCATTAACATCACACCCCTCTCTCTCTCTCTGGTTCCTGTCATACCCTTGTTCTAACTTGAAATACTAGAGAATGGCAAACATTGAAATTCTTTAACAATGGCACATGCAGTTTCTTTCATTCATGGCTGGCAAGTTGAATCCAAATGAAAGTTATCTGATGAGAGTTGTTACTAGTGGTGTTCCTCAGGGATCAGTCTTAAGACCTATCTTGCTTGTCAGTGACTTTGATACTGAAACTAGATGTATCCTCATGAAATTTGAGAATGACAGTACGGTAGGGTTTTTCCAATATAAAAGAAGACAGGATTAGTATACAGAAAGATGTAGATAATTTTGTGGAATGGAGCATTGGAAGAGTGTAACAGTATGAAGTGCAAATTCACGTACTTGGGGAACAATGACAAGGTCTTCAGCTATAAGGCAGGGGTGAACAAACTAGATATAACAGAGGAGGAGAGGGATCTAGGTGCACTGGTCAGATGTAGGATGACCGTGAGCTACTAGTGTGAGGCAGCAGTGAAAAAGGCTAGCACTATTTTAGGCAGGGTATATTCAATAAAGACAAGATATTACTAGTATTATTGTACATGGCTTTTGTAAGGCCAAAGCCAATGCTGTGTGCTGTATTGGTCACCTGTGTTCAAAAAATTTATTTGAATTGGTACAGGTACAAAGTAGGCTATTCAAATGGCTGAAGAAATTGAGACATTTTCTTATTAAAGAAGATTAAGGATGTTGGCTTGATTAGCTTAACAAAATGGAGATGGAGAGGAGATATACCTTTTACAAATAGATTTGCAGAGACAATATTAGGGAACACAAACAGATGTTAGGTTGAAAAACAGTGGTACAAGATCAATGGTTACAAGCATGTATATTGGAAATTAGATTCTTGACTATCAAAGTTTTGGGGTGGTTTTCCAAGTCAAGCAGAAACAGGGGCAAAGAACCTAAATTGCTTTAAGATTTAACTGGATACATTTATGGAAGGGATAGCATGATGGGGTAGGGAGGTCTTTGGTCAACATACAGCACATACAGTATGTGGAATTTTGTATTTTCAGTCCTCACTTTGGGGTCTCTAGGTGTCTGGCATTCCCATGCTTTAAGGCTTTTCCAGGTTGTCATTTGGGGCCATGTCTGGTGGAGCTGGATGTGTTTAAATCAGCAGGTTCAGATGATTTCCACCCCAGGGTGCTGAGGGAATTAGCAAGGGTCATTGAGGGACCCCTGGCACAGCTTTACGAGCAGTTGTGGTGCTCTGGTGTGGTGCCAGAGGACTGGAAAAGGCCAATGTGGTTCCAATTTTCAAAAAAGGGAGGACCCAGGTATCTATCGGTCTGTTAGTCTTACCTCAGTCCTCTGGAGAAGCTCTTTGAGAGAATTATCCAAGAGCACATCTGCGAGGGACCAGCAGGAGAGATGATGCTCAGGGGTAACCAATATGGGTTCATTAGAGGCAGGTCTTGTCAGAACAATCTGGTTGCCTTTTACGATCAGGTCACAAAATCCTCGGACGCAGGTGTCACAGTGGACGTAGTCTTTCTGGACTTTAGGAAGGCCTTTGACACTGTCTCTCACTCCATTCTCATTAAAAAAAACTAGACAACTGTTGCATTGATGCCTACACAGTCAGATGGGTGGCAAATTGGCTAGAGGGCCACACCCAGAGAGTGGTGTTGGACGGGTCATTTTTGACCTGGAAGGATGTGGGCAGTGGAGTTCCCCAGGGCTTGGTCCTTGGGGCCTGTACTGTTCAACATCTTTATCAGCGACTTGGACGAGGGGGTGAAAAGCACCTTGTTCAAATTTGTGGACGACACTAAGATATGGGGAGAGGTGGGCATGCTAGAAGGGAGGGACAGGCTACAATTAGATCTGGACTGGTTACAGCGGTGGGCAGGTGAGAATAGGATGGGATTCAAAACTGACAAGTGCAAGGTACTGCACCTAGGGAGGAAGAACCAGCAGCATACCTGTAGGCTGAGGAACGCCCTTCTCATCAGCACAGAGGCAGAAAAGGATCTTGGAGTCATTTATTGATTCCAAGATGAACATGGGCCGCCAGTGTGAGGACACGATCAGGAAGGCTAACCACACCTTGTCATGCATCCACAGGATGCATCATGAGCAGGACCAAGGAGGTGATCCTCCCCCTCTATGCAACATTGGTCAGGCCACAATTGGAGTACTGCATCCAGTTCTGGGCGCCACACTTCAGGAGGGATGTGGACAACATGGAGGAGATCCAGAGAAGGGCCACTCGCATGATCAGGGGACAGCAGGGCAGGCCCTATGAGGAGAGGCTACGGGACCTGAACTTGTTCAGCCTCCACAAGAGAAAGCTGAGAGAGGATCTGGTGGCCATCTATAAACTTACCAGGGGGACCAGCGGGGAATTGGAGAGGCCCTGTTCCCCCGAGCACTACCCGGAATAACGGCCACAAGTTGAGCGAGAGTAGGCTCAGGCTAGACATCAGGTGGCACTACTTCACAGTCAGGGTGGCTAGGATCTGGAAGCAACTTCCAAGAGAAATAGTGCTCGCTCCTACCTTGGGGATCTTCAGTCACCTCGCTGGGGTCATTTGATCCCAGCACTCTTTCCTGCCCATGGCAGGGGGTCAGACTTGATGATCTGCTCAGGTCTCTTCCCACACTATCAACTATGAAATTCTTGAATACACTTTGCTTCTGGTGTGGAAGGGGTAGGGAGGGTTTTTTTCTTTTGAATCATTGGGATGTTGGCCAGAGCGAAGACTGGGGATTTTTGACTTAAAGTATACTGATGCTCCCACCGGTACTTAGACGATTCAGAGAGTTTCCTGGGTGGAGGGTCTTTTTCCTCTGCTTAGGGTCATACCGAGCACTAAATCTGGGGCCCAGAATTTTTTTCCCTTAAGTCAGATTAGCAAAGACTTTGTGTTTTGTGGTTGTTGTTTTTTTCCTCTTTAGTTTGTGGCATGCTCCTTTTCTAGGTATATATTATCCTTTTCTAAGTTAATATATTAACCATTTACATCTGTCATTGCTGTTCAGTGCCTTCATCTTCCCTGCTTTTTTACATTTGGTACATTGTAGGTTGTTCTTGGTGTTTCTGGTTGTACATTCTGTAGTTGCATGTGTGGATTTGAAGTGATGATTCTGAGGACTCCTTGAATAAATGGTTGCCTATGAATGCTAGTGACTAGACTCAATGGCCCAGAAGGCCCATTCCCCTCATAGAGCATTATACATACCTTTTTGTACTGCAGTGCATCAGAGATCCAGCATATCAGAGCAGACTCAATTAATCGAGTCTGCTGCACATACGAGCTGACATGCCTGGCTCTGCATTGCATACATTTGTGTAAATGGCAAAATTCATATCAGCACTGGGGAAATGGCTGTGGTGCACTTTTGAACTAAAACACCTTTGATGTGTTTTAGTTCAAAAGCGCAAAGCCTCCATTTTCTCAATGCTAACATGCATTTCGCTGTTTATACAAATGCATGTGGTGCAGCACCGGGCGCTTTAAAGAGTGCTTGGCACTGCGTCTCACACACCTCTAAAAATGCCATACATTCCCACTGTCTTCCCATGGTCTTTGATAGGGATAACCTCCTGCCTCTTAGAGCGTGTTATACCATGATTAGCATTTTTATTCTCTATTCCAGTTATTATTGCTAAGTTTTTAATTTTGGAATGTCTATGACTACTTGTAGGTGTCAAGATATAAAACCAGAAGAGGAAAGCATGATTTTTGTGACAAAATGTCCATGTGATGAATGTGTGCCTCTAATCAAAGGTGCTGGGATCAAGCAAATCTATGCAGGAGATGTAGATGTTGGAAGAAAGAAAGCAGACATATCATACATGAAGTTTGGTGAGCTTGAGGGTGTTAGCAAGTTTACAGTAAGTAGCTGAACCTACACTATTTTAATACCAAGCAGGCAGGAATGGCAGGAGTGCTTGCAGAGAGAGGCTAAAACAAATTTACCCTTATTTTGTACAGTGCTTGTTTCATCAGTGTTCCATGATGTGGCAATTGCCTGTGCTCTGTCTATACTAGGGTTTAAACCAGCGCTGTTCTAGTGTGAAACCAGTGATAGGAAAACTACTAGGGGAGACAAAGTTTCAGAGGGTGTTTTGAGCAGAAACACTGCAATTCATAACCTATGAAAAAGAGGAAAAATCCACCATCTGGGAAGCAGCTTTGACAAGTTCCAAACAGGATCTTGTCCCGCCCTCTTTTGACTGGAAGATTGGCTCTAAATATTCCCAGGTGGCACTAGTTCTTTAAAATAGAGTCTTTGCAATTATATAAGTTGTGTGATGGACTCTTCCTTGACCCTCTCTGCAAAATATAGTATTTCTAGTAACTGTAGTGTCAAGAAAAAATATAATATTACTTGTACCACATTGGCTTTTACACGTTGTTAGTTTTCCTGTTGAACCTAGTCATCGTACCACTATCAAGGAGAGAAGCCAGGGCAGGTTCACATGGGAAAGGGGGTGAGAAACAGCCATGAAAAAGACTGTTTTATCCCATAGAGTCCCTCTACATGGAAGTGTACTCTGCCGAGTGAGATAAGGCGGGCAAAGGATAGGATTGGAAGTGTCCACTTCGCATGATATCTTCTTCCCACAAACTTGCAAGTTCCTCTTTAGATACTATTTAATCTATGACATGACCTTAGCCATACCGTGTAATGTGTCCTCCCTTTCTTTTGCAAACCATCACCTTCCTTCACTGAGAATATGGAGTAGGATTGCAACCACTGGAAAGAGACTCTGTGAGAGGCCATTCTTGGTGGCACTATGGTTAAGGTGACCATATGTCCCATTTTAACTGGGACAGTCCCAGATTTCAGATGTTGGTCCCAGCCAGCTGCTGAGAATTATAATGTGCATCCCAGAAATGTAGGGGTGTGAGGCACAGTCTGGCCAGGAGTCGGAGTGGTGCAGAGCACCTTGCAGGCTGGGCAGGCAGGCAGGCACCACTGCCTGCCCAGCATGCAACCCTGCCTCTGCTGACTTGTGAGAGTGTGGAGGGGAGACGGAGGGCAGCATCCTGGATTTCTGAGATTTCCATATGGTCAGCAGCCTAACTATGGTGGATAGAGTAAGGGATGGAAGGTGCACTGGGAGGTGGGGGCTGAACACTCAGTCTCTATGTTCCAGTTCCTGTAATTTTCCCCCAGTGTCTGCGTATTGGTTTCTTCTCCTGGGTACAGTTTATGCTTGGACATCTCTTATAGTGCAGTAGGTTTTTGCATTTAAAAAAAAAATAAAAAAACAAATTTTGTGACTGTATTGTTTCAGGAAAGATGATCCTCTTAAATTAAAGTCACGTGATAGGCTGCTGCTTTCACACAGCATATTTTTCTTCTGGAATAAATGTAGTTTTTTGGTTGTTTCTTTTCCTCTTTTTTTTGTCAGTGGCAACTAAATCCGTCTCATGCTAGTGATCAAGAGGTCCAAGAATCTGCTGCCAGAGAAAGTAAGTATTTTTAGTACCATGTTTGAATAAGATGAATGTAATAAATACAACTACATTTAAAAATCCTGAATTCCTGCAAGAATTGGTATTTTTCTTGGTCACCTGTCAAACTGTGATAAGGACAACCTGCGTATTTAATTTTGTAAATGGATACCTCAGTGGTAAGTACAAACTCATGCATTTTTTCAAAAAGGCGTGCCCATGCACACACTCACACTCATACACTCAACCATTATAAAGGAAGATTACTGCTATTATTAAAACACAAAATATGCCAATTTTATTAAGCCAAGCTACTGGATGGAATTTTTGAAAAGTGCCTAGGAACATTTAAGTACTACCTTTTTTTTTCTGTGGGATCTAGACTCTGAAGCTGTGCATGGTTTTGAAAAGTCTACCTACTGTCTTTGGTGAATCACAAACCCTATAATTTCTTTTAAATAATATGTATTATTTCCTTTTATAACTAGTTTCTATTACTTTTAATGGTAGCTCAGACTCAAATCTTTCAGTATGGTGTTTGCCACACACCCAATCAAATTGAAGAGATGTACCAAGGGCAGTGGTCACTTTTCCAGACTGGGATTAAATTAATGTCATAATATGGCCCTTTTTGCATGAAATGCCACTAAGCCCTCAGAGCCCTTCTCAGCCACAGGGTTGAAAACTGTAAAACAGAAATGAAACGCATATAATGGCCAAGGTACATATTGGATATCTTTCAGCTAGTAACTGGGAACATGTTGGCCCATCCATACTAGATTTATAACGAAGACTCTTGATTGATTTTTGCACTGTAATGGCAGAGCGATGACTAAACTGTGGTTATGGAGTGACCTTGATATGAAACTTGATATATTTTTGGAGCTGTCTCCTCTTCAGCTTTTTTCCTCAGGAGTTCTGAGGCTGTATTATAAGGATATGACATCTGTGTCCAATAGCCATTACAGAATGCAAGAAACTTTTTGGCCCTGTATTTACCAGTGGTCAAACTGTTTTCAACTGCAGTTGGGTAGAGGTCCCAGGGCTCTCTGTGTTTGACATCCAGACCATTTTCCTAATGTCTGTTCCTCCAAAGTGGTGTTCTTGAGTTTTTAACTATTCCTCTATTCTGGGCCACTATCTTTTCTTAGTGCACTTCCCTCGCCATGGCTGTTGCTTAAGTGGAGTGTGCTCCTCCATCTAGGGAAAGAGAGGACTTCCTTAGTGAGCCCTAATCCTTGCTGAAACTGAGGGTGCTGCCCATTTCCAGGCCCAGGTATGAGAATCCCAAAGTGTCATCCACATGAGATAGATATTGCAGGCAGAAACAATCTGTCAATGAGTAGATAAATACTGATTGCATATTGATTACAGTTTTGCAATCCAGTAATATGAAAACAAACAGGTAACTGGAGAAGTGTGGAGAGCATTGTAATGCCTCGGTTGGGGGCTTAGAGAAGATGAGAGAGGGAAAGTCTGCACAGCATTGAACAGAATTTAAAACCGTCCATTAAAGCAAGTAACAAGGAGAGACAGTGGCATGGAGTTTTTATATTTCCATCTCTCTGTGCTAATGACTGTATAGAGTACTTACACTGACCTATCACCAGCAGTCTTTAAGTAAGTAATTCTCACCTGCTGTAGAGTTTAAATCTGTTTAACCACACAGTGGCTCACATGATGCATCTGAGCATTTAAAAAATACATTTAGTATTATTGTAACGTATCTTATGTTTTAGATGGTGTACAGAGAACAACATTGCTTGATGACCCACAGCACCAAAGCAAGAAGCTGTGTCTTGGAAACTACTGATCAGTTACACAGGAAGCAGAAACATTAGGTCTCTGTGAGCCTCTTAAAGCACTTTTATAATCCAGCCTGCTTGTGCTGTCAAGTAAGGTTGGATTTTATTTATTAATTGTTGGAAAAATGATTTTAGAGTAAGTTTATTTATGAGGTCTTAAATGTTTTGTATAGTTTTTAATTTTAGACATTTATAAAGGATTTTTTCCCTGTGAAAATGCTGCTTAGATATTACATACAGAACTAATTTGGTGGCCACTATTAAGATTGCTTGGCCAATCATTATGAAGTGAGAGCTTCCAGTCATCAGATCTGAATCATCTCTTTGCTAATGGGACAGAAGAATCTAGTGAAATAACATCTGGTTGGCTCATGGCATGAACTGAGGAAATTGGTTTCAAAACTCCGAGCAATCAGAATGTAGTTTTGCAGAAATAAAGCCTGATTACTCAAGTGCTTGTGGAAGTCCCACAGAGCACGGGGTCAGAGACAGTAAAATAGAATTAGTCACTAACGTGTATGTTCTTTTCAATTATCTGGTACACTGAATATGAAGTCAATGGATTACAGTGTTCTTGCTTGATAAATGACTCAGCCCTATTGTCCTCTGTGCCTCTGCCATCTACATCAGCAGCCAGAGCTATTATTCTGTGACCACATTCTCTTGCATTGATGTCATTTTCTGTGGATATTTTTTTTAATGTACCTCAATTGAATGGTCTTGAACAGAAATCAGTGTATCACTTCTCAGAAGCTGAAAGTACATTTGTGAGACTTCAGATCTTGGATGAGACTCTCGGTACCTTGCACGTTATACACTAGGATGCTCACTTGTCAGGTGGCAGAGGAAAAATGTTCGTAATTTCATAAATAATATCATAGGAGCAGATTTGTTCCTGTAGGAAACTCACCAGCTAGAAAGTGACTGGATTTCTTGATGTCATTTTTGATGCATTGATTTGCAACAGTGAGATAGTAGGGGAGTTTTAGATACCAACACTGTAGGTAACTGTCACTGGAATAAGGAACATAAATTAGCAAATAGACTGAACTTGCAAACTCATCTCATTGGCTCTGAAGGAACACCATGTAACTCCCAGCTGGCAGACATTTGCATACTGTGCCAAAATATAAGGGCATCCCCAGTAATTTTGGTCACAGTGGTAATCCTCCCCACATCCAGACTGTTTGTGGTTCAAAGATGACTCGTGATAAAGGTTCCAAGATTGTCTTTCCCTTCACAGCTCCCACGTGCAAACTCCTAAAACCTCTCCCTTTTCCACTGGTACTAGGATATGCAAGTGGCTTCCTCCACATGTAACATGAGTACACAGATCCTTTAGTCTGTGCTCCTCCTCCTCATTCTTCTCTTAAACCATTGGGAAGGGTAAGTTCTTGGGAATCGAAAGCCAAGTCTCCTGCTCAGTATTGCCGAACACTGGACTGCTGCAGCAGTCAAGGGCATAAAAAAGGAATACAAAAGACGTGCCCTTAGGAAGAGAGGAGCGCATTTCCCAGCTCCAGCACTGCAATCTCCACTATAGCTACACACATTAAGCAAAGAGCCCTGCCTCTAGTGCCTCTGCTTTCCAGTGACTCTGAATATTCTAAAATCTATTCCAGGACTTTCCCCTTCTGTTGTCCCTACAGTTGCATGTTGGCTTCATGCATAGAGCCTCATGGCTCTCTCTTGGCCTGGACAAAGGGCTGGCACCCATTAGACAAGAGAGACCAGAGAGTATATACACAGCCTTCGTTCATGTAGCGTTTCTGTCACTGTTATATTGTTTGTCAGAGGGGCCCTGTTCTTGATTTTTAAGGGATTGGGTCTAGTCTATACAGTCTGGTTCTGGAGGCTCTGGTCACTTCTTGTTAATCCTGTGGTACAAAGTATGGCCATGATTCCTTTTAAGTTTACACTGCCTGCTTACTCTACATTTATGGACTTAAAGCCTTCCCCATCTGCCCTGCACAACTACTCAGCTCTTGTTCCCTTACATGGCCACATAGTTTGGGTACCTTAGTGGCATAGCAGGGGCTGCCATTTCCTTTCAGTGTGTTTTAAACATCTTAAAGATATTCTGGAAACTGGCAAATAACTGAATGTTGGGTGGAGCTCTCTGCTGCTAACATGAGAGTGTGACTAACTTTCATATACTGTTAGTTCATTTCACTAAGTAAGGAGGCTGCAACTACGCTGCCTTCCTTATTCTAAGGCACAGCTGTCAAACATCCCGGCTGCAGAGCCCCACCATCCTACCCCCAGTACTACCCCTATGTATGATCAGATCCACACTGGGCACAATGTACTTCTATGGTGCACAGCTGGTCTGCAGGCTGGATTGGGCCCACAGACTCCCTGCTCTCTCCCTCCTCCTCCCCTAGCATACCAGATTTGGCAGCTGGTCCAGCGCAGAGTGGCCATAATGGGCATCGTGTGCAGCACAATCCAGCTGGAGCAACCACTGCACTGCACACAGTGGCCACCCTAGCCAGGTTGCATCACATGTGGCACTCATTCTGGGATGTCTACCATGCGCAGTACCTGCTGCAGCTGGTCTGGGAACTATGCTGCATGTGGTGTTTGTGGGTTGCATGCAGCACAGTTCCCAGGCTGGCTGGAGCAGGCACTGCATGTGGCACAATCCCAGAGTTGCCAAAGTGGGCACCATGTGTGGTACAGTCCTTCCAGGCTAGCCACCACATGCAGCACGGCTGCCATTCCAGCCAGATTGCTATATGCAACACCCCTTCCAGCCACTCTAGGATTCATGCTGCGTGCAGCATGGGTCCCTGATTGGCTGGTGCAGCCACTGGATCACGGATGATGATTAGGGGGTGGGGTCTGTGGGTCCACTCTGGCCCACAGACTGGCTCTGCACCACTCATCAGGCCCTGCTCTAAGGACTACCTTTATTGGGAGCATGGTTCAGGGAGAGGTAAGGGTGGCAGAATACCCCTGTTGAGACTTCGGACCCCATGCCAAGTATTTGCACAAAAGAAGGAAGTCTGTGATATAACGAGATGTGGATCTGTCATTGCATTATTGTATGGGTACATTTTTAAGCACTTGAATAAACCACCAAGGTTTTGAGCTCTGAGCTGAACAGACAGTTCTCTTTGTCTGTACCCTAGCCTAAAGGCTTCACTAAGGCCTGCACAAATCCAGTTTCAGGCTGGGAGCTTAAGCTGCTGTTCTTGATACCGTATAAATGTCATCATCACCAGGAGACTTTTCTAAATAAGCATTGCACAGTTTGACCTGTTATAAAAAGTTTATTTTTTCAGTGCATAATATTAGACTTTGCTGCAAGGAACTTAAACATTCTGAGAGCTGTAGTAGGATAGTATTTAAAGAAAAACAGATTCTCTTGTTTAATCATAGGTGTTCTACTTCAACTTGCAAGTCTCAGAAAAGGAAAGAATGTCCTAAGATAAGTGAAATTACCTAATGTGTTTAGACTTAACTATTTATCCATATTAAAAGTACACTCTCAAGGTTAGTACAATTTGATCTACCTTTTCATCCACGAAGTGTGCTGACTTGTAATTTAGGCACAGAGAAAATCAGTAAAGGTCTGATGCTCCTTCAGGTTTTACATAGATTTAAGAAACCCGTAGTGCTAGCAGAATATTTGTAAGGAAACCAATTGTGCATGTTGTTTTGGCAGTTAACAGTTCCTTTAAGTGACTAGGGCTCCTATGCCGCATGGTGATTAGCATACATAAGCAGGAAAAAAGGCATCAAGTAGTGTGTACATGAAATAAAGATTTTATCTGTGTTCTTTCTTAAAATGAAGAAAACTTCAGCAAGGAGACACTTCTAGAACACACTGAGTGTTTGTACTTCTTGAGAAGTTACTCTAAACATTTAGCCTTTATTTTTTTCAAAAAAACCTTTTTAAAAGGGAAAAAACTGGATTTTTTTGCACAATGTTTTGTTGTGAAAAGGGCGGTACATTTTTATAACTCTGTTAATACAAAACGTGTGGGGCCTGCATTTTTACAGCATTCTGTCATAATGTTCCTGCCTATTCAGTCTCTGGCTCTTAGGCTTAAGTATGTCTGGTCTTGCACAGGATTAAAGGTCTACCAATTAAAGGTCCTCCATTAAAAGGTCTACCAATATGCCTGAACCCTCTGTAACTACAGTGTGCACGGTCTGTGCTTCCCAAATCATAGCCCATTTAGATGCTGCTATATGCTTTATCTAATGAGAAAAAGATGTCAGGAACCTGCTGAAGTCTCCTATAGCACTTACCTTGAGAATGTATTCCAGGAAGCTTCTCTGTTGTATGCAAATATTATATATATAATTTTAGCACATCCTATATTTAAACTAAATAAGCATTACAATTTTACATTTTATATTAAAGTATGAGATTTGTACATTTGAGCTTTTTTGATCCTGTCTCTTCATGTTAGAACAGTTATATTGAACCTGTTCAGAGGAATTATCTTTTTTTCAGTGTCTACCATCTAGCAAAGCATATCCCTTCCTAATAAATTATTCAAGTGTTTAAATGGCTTTAACTTACAAAGGACAGTGTTAACAGCTTTGAAACATAAACACCACTTTCTCTTTTTTGGAGAGAGGAGGATCAGTGACCTCGTTTGTCCCTTATAACCTGAATCTGTCATCATCTTGTAGCTAGATTGAGGCATTTGTCTCATCCTGAGGGTACTGAGTCCAGACAAAACTTTAGTGGATTAGTAGTACAAGCAGTCCTCAAATTTATGACAATTGGTTCCTGAAAACTGCATCTTAAGTCGAAACGTTGCAACTCGGAACCAATTTTCTCATAAGAAATGTTATAAATGGGGGATTGGTTCCTGAGCCAAGGCCTGATGCCCTGTTTTCACCAAAAATACCCCAGAATTTTGTATTCGATCAATTATAAATGAGTAATATGGCTACATTAATGTATTTATATTGTAAATAGCAATCATACTGATTTGGAAGGAATTCTTTGAGGTGACTTTGCTGGACTTTTTGAAGGGTTCTTGGCTGGAGTCTTCTCAGGAGTCTTGGTTGCAGGTTTTTCTGGAGTCTTGGCTGTTTTCTTAAAGACAATGTCCAAGGAAGTTTGGACAGATGTTCTTCAGGGAGATGAGTGATGCAGCGAACTTGTTCGCTGGTGTGGCGTTGCATCAGATCAAGCATTGTAAAGTTGAAACTAACATCATAAAGTTGAAATAGGGTGTCAATTTATAAATGGTGTAAGTATGAAACATTGTAACTTGAAACATTGTCAGTCAAGGACTAAATGTAGTGGTATTTACATGTGTGTGCGTGTTCATATATATCCAAAATTTTGTATAGTTCTCCCCCACCATGCTAGTAGTTATGAATACTTACCATTTAATTCATGACAATACCTCAGAAAGATTAATATTCTTTCCCCCTTCTCCATCTCTTCCCTCCTGTCTGATCCCATGGGCTGATCTCCCTCTTTCAACTTGTGCAGTCTGCAGTGTGACTCAGAAGAAGGAACTGAAGCAGCATTGGCTTAATTTGAAAAATATATACAATATAGTTCCCAGCAGGAAGTGTTGAATATAATATATTTACATAACAAAATCCAAAAAAGAGTAAACTTAAAGGAACAAGATACCTTAGCCCCACATATCTTTTAAATATATTTTCAGGGCTGGATAAAAATAAAGCTTCCTAGTATAAAAAAGAAAAGCAGCGATTTACTTTATGGTCCTTCTGGCAATGTAAAATGGCCACTCAGAGGAGATGCAGGTGAGGGGAATGTAGAGCCTGGATCTGCTGCTCCCTGAGCAAATGGCCTGGGGCTGAAACATAGGCAGACCCTCCTCCCAACTATCTAAATAGCTCCTGAGACATGATTTTCTCTTTGGGCCCCTTAGCAGTGCAGGTAAAGGCACAATAGGACCTGATGCACGGTGCATACAATCATTCCTCCTGCCATGCCACATATGCATGGCAGGAAGTATGATTGAGGGATTGCGAGATAAATCCCATCAACCCTTACTGCCAGTGTAGGGGGAGCTTGGGATCACAATCCCAGGCTCTCCCTGCACTGGCAAGTTGAGATTCCTGCAGCTGGGGGGTCTCCTCAGCTGACGGGGTTCCCAGCCAAATGCACCAGGTGTCCCTGTGGCTGGGAAATGGCGCCTGATGCAGGCTTCCAGCCACAGGCTCTCCATGCACCCCAACAGCTGGGAGCCCTGTCAGCTGGAAGCCCCAGGACCTGGGGCACACTTGCGCCACAGGGGTCCCTGGCCATACATTCAATTAGTAGCATGACAATAAGGAGCCCCCAAAGTTATGACACATATTTTGTGTAATTGGTTAATCATGTCTTAAGCCCCATCTACATGTTATATTTAATACACCAAAGCACAATCAGGTTGGTCTGAGAGGACCTGCCCCTAATGAACCCATGTTGGTTGCCCATGAGCATCATCCCCCCGCTGGTCCCTCACAGATGTGCTTCTGGATAATCTCAAAGAACTTCCCCAGACTGAGGTAAGACTAATGGGCCTATATTTGCCCGTGTCCTCCCTCCTCCCTTTTACAAGAATGGGGACCATATTTGCCTTCTTCCAGTCTTCTGGCACCTGGCCAGAGCACCGTGAGCACTCATAAAGCTGTGCCGGGGCCCCTCAATAACCCCTGCCAATTCCCTCAGCACCCTGGGGTGGAGAGCATCTGGACCTGCTGATTTGAACATATCCAGCCCCTCCAGAAGTTCCGTAACTCAGTGCTCCCTGATCCTAGACCTGGCAGAATCTCTCCTGAGTCTGTCCTGAATCTCGGTGGGGAGCAGTCCCTGCACAAAAAAAATGGAGGCAAAGAAATTGTTAAAAAGGTCTGCCTTTTCCTCTACTGCAACCACCAGATTGCCAGGCATATCCCACAGGGGCCCCACGTTACCCAGTGCCTTCTTCATAACTCCCTATGTATTTAAAAAAGGACTTTTTATTGTCCTTGATGCTAGCCCTAGTTGGGTATCTGCCTTAGCTTTTCTAACAGTCCCCCTGCAAACCCAAGTGATGGAGGTATGCTCTTCTTTGGGGGTCATTCACACGAACAGTTTTTTTGCACAGAAGTTCTCCATCTATGTTTTGTTTTAGAGGGGAGAACGGGAAGGAGCTAGTAGTGCAACATCTAGTGCCACCAAGTAACGTAAAAAACACAATTTGGTCACGTTTGTAAGTGCGAGTTCACAGATGGACAAAGCCTACCACAGGTACCTGTTGAAGGGCTGAATAAAAAATAAATGTCCACCAATTTGAAGCTCAATGACAGCATCCACTTGTTTGTTTTAGGTTGCGGGCACTTCATGGGTATAATTCTGTTACCCCTAGTATATATGTGCACTAGATTTTGTGTGGGAAGGCAGGAAAGGGGGAAGAAGGAATTAATCTTGTTCTTCTGGCTTGCTTGGCAAATTTCAGAATGAACTGGCACCACCCTCTCTTAGTAGGTATAAAAGAAGCACATATTAATTAGCAAAATTACTAAAAGGCAGTGAGTTAGAAACAAAGATGCATGCTAATGTTTTAGGATCACCACCAGAGGACAGTATGAGCAAGCAAGTTCCTAATGCATCAGTAGACTGGTAGTTCTGTGTTGACTTTTAAGTTCAGACTCCAAAGGTCTGGGGAAGTCTCACCATCATTGATGGTTCTCAGCTTGAGGCATACCTACATGGTGGGTGGGCTTGCATGTGTGCATGCTTGCGTGTGATATCTACTTTATCATAACTAACCTAGCAGCTATTCCAAAAATTCCACTATTACAGATGGCGAAGGACAAAGATTCATTTGCTGATCAGCACAAATGCCAGAAATCTTGAGACAGCCCATAACTGATAACCAGAAAGGCAATGAATAATCCAGGAATTAATGTAATTTAGGTGAAGGGCCCTGCTTGAATCTTAAAACATGCTTTGAGTTGTGTCTAGGACACGAACAGAGGTCTGAATGAGAACACTAAGCTATGGGCCCCAGAGGTCTTTGTTGCTTTGCGGTATCAAAATTCTGTTACCTCCACACCTTTTCTAATCTATTTTAATTGAGTAAATCCTTCCATTCTGACCCAGGCTCTTTTATGTAAGCTTCATTTTACTCATCAGGTACTAGGTCGAGAGATTTCCTGGTGGTAAGCAAAAGAAGCAGAACGAATACTATGGAGGAGATCAACTGAATTCACAAAGGAGGAGTTATATAAAACAAGAATAAGAAACAGAAGAAACCAGCTGCATGAGTGTGTCCTTTCCTGATGGGACAGGACTGTTCGCTGCAGCACATTAGGTGGCACAGTTTAAATTTCTTGTGTTAATTATTTTTGGGCTTCTAGTCCTTTGTTTTATAAATGAGAAAAGGGAGGGGTTCCTCTCCCCTGGGTAATGAGACCCAATGAGACTGCTGTTCCACAAGTAAGCAGGGCCTGGATGGAAAAGGCACATGGGACTGGACAGTTGAGTAGGACAGGCTTGGCTAGTTTTAGAAATGGCTATGCTGGGTTGGAAACTGGACTGCAAAAGGAAACCTTGCTTTTATCTGGGGCGAAGGCATCTCAGAACCAGCACAGGTGTTGCGATGGCTCCTCAGACTAGGGAGGGAGCAGCACTGATTTAAAAAGTGTGGGGAAAAGAAACTTGAGTTTTGGTCCTAGAACTCTGTGATGGGAGGAGCCTCCATTGTAACAGTATAGTTCTGCAGGTATCTGAAGAACTGCGAGAGCAGGCAGAGGGCCTGAGTGGCTTGTGATCAGTCCTGTTGAGGCACCAAATAAATGAACTCTCCTTTTTCCTCATTGCTGCTGAGTTTGGGGTTTGGGGTTTTTTTAAGTCTCAGATTCTTTCCTACCTGTACAAGTCACCAGCATTGTTGGAGAAATTCCCAC